ATAATAATAATAATAACCATAACAATAATAATAATAATAATAAATGAAATAACCGTAGCAAGGATTGTAAAACAAACCTCGCGTTGCGTTTGCAACCACCATAAGAGAAGACGCCATTTTATGAAGGAATTCCTCCCTCATTGAATGAAACCGTTACATCGTATAAGGCAAAACGCCCAAGATCAAAATCACCAAGCACAAACGTTACCTACAGTACAGTCTCACGGAGTGACGAGATGGAAGCAACTTATCCCAGGTCCTTCCTCCCACACCTGCTGTTGACGAATCGTATAGCTGTTGATCTGTCCGAGCAGGCCGGCACGATAGATTCCACATTTCACCAAGTAGGCACGGTGAAACATTCGCGAACTGTCACATAAAAAAGTTAACAGACACGACGTATTGGCTGGTCCTCCTTATCTGAGCAGTCAACTTGACCCGACTGAACCCTACTCAAGATATACGAAGTCGGAGGTCCTGTGTCTTGTGTCTTGTGGTTGGTTAGGCGACAGGGCTCCTTGTGTTTTTGGGAAAAACACTTTACTTAACACGAACGGAGCGTAACACGAATGTTCCTCACCTCCCTTCACTCAAGTGTGAATGGGTACCCGCCATAGATAGCAAAAGATCTTGTCAGTATACAAGTGTTTTAGCGTTTCATGTTTGACAATAGGCCAGCCGTAATCACACGAGGCCTGTAAAAAAGCTGCTTGCACTGTACACTTCCCAGGTGTTGAGATAGTTTCTGGATGCTATCGGGTCAGCTGGGGGAATGAAAATACAGCTTGCTGTGAAGCGAGACAAAAACTATTTCCGTCCCTAAGATTTTGGTTTGTGTGTGTGTGTGTGTGTGTGTGTGTGTGTGTGTGTGTGTGGGTGGGTGGGTGTGTGTGTGTGTGTGTGTGTGTGTGTGTGTTATTTGTGTGTGTTGTGAGTGTGTGTGGTGGGGGAGGGGGGGTAGAAACAAAAAAAAGGGACTGGAGTGGGGAAACAGCACTTTATTTATTATCTGAGCACTAAATGGAGTTATCTGTTACCCACAATTCACATGATGATAATAATAATATGGTGTTTTTTTACGACGCGTTGGTGGCAAAGTGGCAACAAGTTATAATTTTAGCGTGCACACGCCTCGTTAAGATAACAGTTGGAGATAGGTGAGCCACACCGACATGTAAATGGGCGCAGCAGTTCGATCTACCGAAGCCTTCACAACAAGCTACCATGTCTTTTGTTGATTGCTGTAGTTAGTCCACCAGTTCCGGGAGCAAGCTGGTGCACTAATAGTTCAAACTCCTTGCATAGTGTTGTTGTAATCCTTTGTACACTTGAATTTGGTCGACTTTGGTAGGATGTTTTGGTAAAGGTCTACTAATTAATTCACCAACTCCCCTCTCCCAACGTTTAAATAATAAGCTTATATAGCCTATATGTAAAAATATACATTATGTACTTCGTGCGTGACGTCACTGCTACCCCTTTGTCAGCTCCACATATCGTGGATACCCCGGATGTGCAATGTAGGTCAAGAAGGTTCCTAATGGAAGGATGAAGTAAAATTTAAGCAATGTACTCATTCAGTCTGGGCCAAGAATTATTAGCACAATATGGTAAAAACGCACGTTTTATAAAGCTATTTTTACGCCCACATCGACATAATTTGGGGCATTTAATTAAGAGGCATTCTTTGACCTGCTAGTCACGAACATACCCAGGCTGTGTGTGCCTACTCAGGGGGGGGGGGAAGCTGAGCGGCCATGTCGTGCCCCCTGCGGACTCTGGTACTAATGTATCCTCTACACAAGTGTTTAAACTTTACTAAAACCCTATAGCAAAACTTTGCAGGAGAAAGAAAAGAAAACCGGTTTCATTCTTTTAACAATTTTCTTTTCTTGCTTTTTTTCAACAACTGGTATCTGGATTTCGATAAAATATCTTGAGCACACGCTACTGATATCACAGATTAAGAAAATGCAATTTAAAAAAACAACCTTAAACATTATAGGCTTGTACATTTTAACGGACGGCCGACGGTAGCCCCTGTGGGTCAAATAGAAAAAAAATTGCCTCGTCCCCGACTTCGTCGAATGAATTGGATTGTTGCAGTGCAGTGTGGTGTGCACGCAATACAACGTGTTTTGTCACATAGGCTAACTTGGGTAGTTTGTTTAATGTTTTACGGCGCCCAAAAACTGCATAAGGTAATAATTATGAGCGCGCGGGACACGAGTCGGTTATTTTTCCCATTAGTTCATCGCACGATTTTCCCAGAGAAGATTTTTCAGTTTTGGAGGGAATTAAAAGTGTAATTTTGAATTTTGGCCTGATGACGGCCAAAGTCCACCTTATCGATTTTAAGGACCACAAATGGATCTCTAACGTACACAACTTGCACACGGGACTTCCGGAGATTTTTTGCTCTTATCCGAGAAGGCTAGGTGTTCGATCTTACCTACCCTAAGATCAGGAGTGTGGCTGAAAGACAGCAGTAAGGAGGTTTCAGGAGTATAGAAGTAATAGAAAGAGTAACTTAGATTGTACGAGGCCTACTTTATGCACTTTCTGTGCTATGTAGCAAAACGGGTATCTTCTGCGGTAATTAATTGTTCATTTTAGGTTCCCCCCCCCCCCCCAAAAAAAACAACAAATACAGCAACAACAAAATTCCACCTATTCGTGAATTGAACTCGGGTCTTCAGCGTGCGACAGCGATGCGCCTTCTTAATTGCTACACCACTCACCACAGACGCTGATTGGGGTGTTTTTCAAACGGTTTGTTGACGGAACAGACTTAAGTGGGAGACTTACAAATGGACATGCCAACTGTGACTCCATGCTGCTAATCAGACAGGATACATTTTTTTAAGGGTTTTGAAAAAAACAAAAGAGAAAGAAAGAAAAGAACACTTGAAAACTCCTGATAAGAGATAACTTTGCACAACAACAACAAAACAAAACAAAACAGTTTGGGAACTGGGAGTTCACTGTGCAGTCACGGCTACATTCAATGTCACTCCACTCTGTGGGTTGTGTGTTTCTGTGAATACTGTCATGTGAAACGCGTGTGTCCCTCCACAGCGCCCTCATTTTTAAAAAGTAAACTTGTAGGTGGATTTTCTTTTTAAACAATTTTACTGGAGAGTCAAAACAGCGAATGCTGTTACCAAGAAAAGAACATAATTGATTGAAGATAATAAGGCAGTTAATATCAAAATTGTACCCTTAATCATAATATTAGGGAGCTCAGTTATTATCAATTGTATTCTCAATAATATTATGAGGCTCTCGTGGCCTAGAGGCTAAGGAGTTCGCCTCTTATTCAAAGGTCCCGGGTTCGCATCCTGGTTGCGACGGAAAAAGTTTCTTCTCTAAAGTTGTCTCCTTTCACCTCCTTTCTTGCTCTCAAGCTAGCAATGTTATGTCGTCTGCTTTCGTCTCCGCTTTCTGCCCCACCCCCTCACCTCCTTTGCCCCCTCCTCTGGGCTCCTGAATCTTTCTGCAGCCTTTCTACTGTTTCTCCGTGGCTCCTTCTTACTGCTGTCTTTCAGCCACACCCCTGATCTTCTGGTTGGTAAAATCTACACCTCGCCTTCCCGGACAAGCGCAAAAAATCTCGGAGGTCCAGTTTGCAAGTTGCGCACGTTAAAGATCCATTGGTGGTCTAAAATCGATAAAAGTAGGCTTCGGCCGCCACCCGGGCAAAATTCAAAATTTCCTTCCATACTAAAAAAAAAAGTTTAATGACACACATACCCCC